TTGGCAAAACAGACCCCATAATGACGATTGGAATTGCCTTGTTTTATTAGATGTGTCTTCTAAACATTAATACTATAATAATAATACTTTTTTACCACTATACTGTACTTATTTAGTACATTAAAGTTTTTTAAACAAGATAATTATTATTCTTGTATTTTTTTTTTTTTTTGATATATAAAAACTTAAAAATAATTTTANGTTAATAATTTTAATACTCTCGCGATTATACAGTTATTTAACTATTTAAAAAGTTTTGTTTGCGAATGGATTTTTAAAAAATTCAAAACGATAATTCATTAGAAAAAACGTTCAACTGAAAGTTAGTAAACAATAAATTATAAGAAAAGTATTTGCTAATCACATTTTAAAATCATTTTGCGCATTTACGATTTCCACATTATACACGCATGTTTTAAACGGGTACACACGGATATGGATAACCAGAGATCACTCACTATTCAGGCCAGAGAAAGGTCATCCATGGCGCCATCTAAATTGTCAAACATTAATTAACAATGCAGGCTAACAGGTGGCAATTTGGCGTCGAAACTGCCACGATGCTCACAGCGGCAGAAAAATTGAGAAGTTGCGATAAATCATCAAAATACAGTACTTGAGAAAAACTAACTAATTTAAAAACTGTGATTCGTCAGGGTCTATATTTTCATTAAAAAAAAAAGCTATTTGTTGTTATGAAATCTAAATTTGGTTTGGTTTGTTTGGTTACGGCAACGCGACACGTGAGCCATTTTCCGAGGGGAGATGCTTCCGGAGACAACTTCCAATGGAAAGCTTATTTATTTTATTTATTTAGCGTATGGCTTATACATGACACAAACAAAGCGTAACAAAATGGAGTAATACAAAACCAGAAATGAAATAGGAGAATAAGAAGCAGTAAATGTATATGCAATTAAACAATTGTAAAACTGTACAAATATGTGACTGCACATGTACACAAGGAAATAAAGAGCGTTTAGAGCTGTAGATCTAGCTCGCTTATCCACTTTACGGCTTCTGAGGTGGACGTTAGTATGTCACTCCAGTCTCCCGAGTAAGCCGCAGTCTACATTCGCGTGAAATGTGCTCAACAGTGTGACGTGGAGCACCACAGTCACACTCCGGGCTTGGAACCTTCTTCCATTTGAACAAAGAGTCTTTACACCTGCTATGGCCCGTCCTGACACGGTTTAATGCGGTCCATGTTTTGCGAGGTAAGTCGAAACCCTGGACTCTTTTCTTGCGACAGAACAGATCATGCAAGTGGAGCCTCATTCCTGTTTCCCAGCGGTTTTTCCACAATGTCATGTAGTCATCATCAGTTATGGTCATGTCTTGAGCTGTCCGAAGGGTTGGATTCCGCGATTTCAAGCGGTTAATGCTCAAGGATGGAATGTCTTGGTGAACTTGGAGTTGAGGATTTTTGCTTATCTTTAGGGACTTGCAAGCAAGAGCCTTAGATCGACGCAGGTCAGATGGCATGACTCCTGCCAATAATGGTAGCCAAAGTGCTGGTGTAGATCGTATNCTTAAAAATAATTTTAAATGAATTATTTTATTTGAAAAATGTAGCTGCAGATTGTTATTCATTCTTTTAACAAGGCATTAAATTTCACACTAGGGTTTCTTTCCCGGGATTCCCGCCGTTTATTCCCTACAAGAAAAATCCCGGGAAATCTCGCATTTCAATAATAATTTGTCATGTCAGGTTTTCTTTCTATGATTTATTATTCAAAAAGTTGCATCTTGAAGACTCACCTGAGAGAAATTTTGAGGTTTCATGCTGCATATTATTACCTATGTTTTTCAAGTCTCTACTTGTTAGTTAATGTAATATCTATGTATTGTGTTTGCGCATCATTGAACAGCGGAGCATTCGCTGAAAGTATCACTCATCGCACTTTACTTTCGAATTCTCATTTATATCCTATCGTTTGTAACTGTAAGTGTGATTATATGAAATTCCTATATTAGTCAATTACTCGTATTTTACAACAATTTATCTTAGTATAATTTATAAAAGCAAACCATTGGCGTTTTCAACTGCAGGTCTTTTTGTGACCAAATCGTGAACTACTGTAGACTAAGTGATCGATCATTTTTATTTTTTGAAGTCTTATTATGAAAAATTTTTTTTGAGAGCGAGATTTTTGTTTTCATAAATTTTTTGAGTAGTATTTTTTATGTTCAACTGAAAATAATTTTTTTAAGAAGTTCTATTTTTTGTTGAATTCAAAATAAATTTATGGAATAAGTATATTTTTTATTACATCTTTAGAAATAAAATAGTATTTTTTTCGTAATAATTATTATGTTCATTAAAACTCCCAATGAAACGCTTTATTTTTACTTTCGTCTTATAATGTAGGAGAACATAAATTAATTGAGTCTAACGTGTAGGTATGGGTGAGATCGGCCCTACACTTTTAGTTACTTACTAGAAAATAAATTAAATTATTCAAATTTATGATATTCCTGTATAATATTTTTTATTCATTTGAAATTCTATTTTACTATCTCATCCCGGGAACCCAGGAAAAGAAATTATTTTTTCCGTAATCCCGCTAAAGGCAAATTTCCCGGGAAATGAGAAACCCTATTTCACGCCTAGTCTACATTATAAACTAACTGGTTGACCTTGAGAACAGCTGGAGTCATCTTTCTCGGTTAGTTCTCATGTACTGTACTGTACATATCATGGGAATATTGGTTTAAAGCAGGAGGGGAGCTAACTTACCGCATCTATTCAAATATAACAATATTTTCGATTTTTATGCTATAAAAATACGAGGGAACCGAAAACAAGGCATGAGAAGAGTTTTACTGAACAAAAAACAAAAAAACCTGCTGATGTCATAAAAAACATTCAATAGCGTTTTAAAAAGTCTTAGCGAAGTCAAATCAGTCAAATGTAAGTTTGGAATGATTTAATTAATTTCATAAAACTCCCATAAAAAAACAATAGCGCAATTAATTACCTAATTCAGTGGTTCTTAAATTAATTAACCAGTGTTCCGCGGAACACGGGTATTCCACAGATCTAGATAGTGTTCCAAGAAAGAAAATATTTTAAAGCTTTTATTCAATTTTTTTCCCATTGCAATATTTGTAGACATGTTTTCATTTAATTCAATATGTTAAAATTTATTAATTTATTGCTTCATTGTTTCCTGAGAATAGTAAACATGGAATTACTTATCAAGTTTTGAATATATTGATGCTAATGTTCCGTGTAATAAAATGTATATGAATGGTGTTCCACGACCTCAGAAAGGTTGAGAATCACTAACCTAATTAATAAACCCTCAGAAAAAATTTTCGTGGCAAAAATAATCATGAAATTTGCAGATCATAGATAACGATGTATATATGCTGATCCATACATTTTTGAAAAAGTTATAAGTCAAGGCCCTTTTCTATGAGGTCCTTAAGGCCTGTGCCCGAGCCCTTAATGATGAATATACAGGCATTAAATCTTGTCTTAATGATGAATATAGAGGTTCCACTGTTAATCTTCTTTACTTCAAACTAGTATTGTAGTGCCATGACCCTGTACAGTACATCATACTTTTCCATTAGCAATGGTGTTGTGCCAGTCTTCTAACTCTTCTGGAGAAAATTTTTGAATTGAAATAACGACTTCCAGTTTGCAACAGAAATTTGTATATAATTAATCAGGACCTCCTGTCCTTAAGCTTTCTTTATATAGTCTTAACTTTAATGTATCTCTGTTCTTAAGATTAAGGAAGGACAGATGAACAGATGGATCGCATTGGAAATTTATAGGTCAAATTGCAGCCCAATAAAGTGAAAATACTCTAATTAAATATTAATTAAATATCTTGTAAAATGTTGGTATACTTTTCATTCAGGCTTAAATTAAGATCACATTTCTTCTTTAAATATATTGTAATTTTATTTCAAATTAAAAAAGATATGTGTAAATATTGTGCATGAAATAAAATATTAAATTTAAAATGAAAAATATATCAAAATCTGAATTTTATAAGATTTGCTAAATATAAGGTTTCTAAAAATGGTTTTCAAGCTTTTGCAGATTGTTTTGTTGTTATAGCAATTTAGTATTGTTTCAGAGGCATTCTATATATGCATTGAAAATGTAGATGAATTCCATTTGAAACAATATTAGTAAAAGTCCAAACAGTTCATAATTGTTACTAAATAAGGCTGGAAGGCTTTTACATACTTTATACTTATATAAACATATGCAAATGAACTAAGAGTAATTTCCACTTTAAATGAGAATCACTTACTTTTTATATCCTATCCTCTCACTGTATTATTTCTTTACAGTTATAATTACAGTAATACCTTGACTTACGCGATTTTCAAATCTCGCTGATTCATCTTTTGTTTGAGTGCCATGCAACTCTTGATTACTCACTCCCCCCACACTATTGTTCAGCTTACATGTTCGGACGTGTCGCGCGGAATCGACACATAGCTACAATTTATTTTGTGTTATTTATTTCTGTGTTTGTTATATCTACGGAAACTTAAGAGACTCTATGTGGTGATTTCTTGTAACCGTGAACAAATCAAAAGACAAGATAAGATTAATGAGAACATTTATTAGCTTACATACATCCGACTTGGATTTTACACAAATTGTGAAATTATACCCCAACTTACGCAGTTATCGCTCAGTTTCACCTATCGCATAAGTTCAGGGTATTACTGTACTCATTGAATGAATTATAAACCAATTAGTAGTCATTACACTTGCAAAACTAACATTTTAAACTATAAATGTTGTCACAAACAAAATATTAGTCAAATATTCCTAATTTTGATGATATGAAACCGTGCTTTACAATTTGTTTATGCTTCTAACACAATAAAGTGTTATAAATTAAGACACTTGGTGGGTTTTCTCATCTTTATTTAGTTGACAAACGTCCAGTCCCTACAGTAACCACCGGGCGGTGGTTACTGTAGGGACTGGACGTTTGTCAACTAAATAAAGATGAGAAAACCCGCCAAGTGTCTTAATTTATAACACTTTATTGTGTTAGAAGCATAAATTCCTAATTTTCTTACTTACCAAGTCTTGAAATAGCAATGACCCATTTTTTGTTTTGTTAATTTTAGGAAACCAATGAAACAGAATCTTATCTTCATTACTTTTTCTGGATTGTGACATGTAAAAAAGCATATGGAAATATACCATATTACAAATTAACAATTAATTTACAAATTTTCAATTATTATTCACTCATGTAAATGCTAATGAAAACACACAAATTTAACTCATAATTATGACCTCTGGTATCAGCTTTTTAAAACCTGTGAATGCTTTTCTAAGCAAAATGTACTATAATGTAGACCACAGAGTAAAACCTATTAGTACTATACTATCTCAGCTGCTAGGTGGGAATAGTATTAGTAAAAATGGCTGCTACACCAGTAGAGAATTCATTTTGTGTGTTAAAATTTCACATGACAAAGTCCATAATTAATATGCAACATGCATTTTGAGCAAAATTTAATAACCACATGCATGTGCATGGGAAAAGCAACCGGTTGACCTTCAACATCAGATGATGTGGAATGAGTGCAAACAACTTCTATGTGCAGCCCCAAAAAATCAACCAAAACTGCAACAAGAGAACTGGAAATGTTGAAAACAACAGTGCAGAGAGATTCTCTTTAATCATTTGTTGTAACTCCAAAAAACATTATGAAACACCCTGTACAAAAGAAAACATTATAAATTCCAATAAAAAATAGCTTTAAAAGAGCTTTCTTCAACAATATTCAGCAAAAACGAACAAAGAATATGCCATAACATTTTTATTACAACATTCATTTTAGTATTTTTAAGCTTGATATGTATATTTTGAGAAAACATGTACATAAATTTAACAAAATTGTTGTATAATATCATGGTCTGCTTGCATCAAAACTGGTGGTACATGAAGAGGATTGAACATCTGAACGGTCCGCTTCAATTTTTTGGCAAGATTTTTGTTATATGGATCATTCAACTGGAATTGTTTCCAGAGAAAGTGAGTATTTTTATTCATTTCGGAATCCTCATCTTGAGAATTATTAGACTTTGCTGCATCATCATCATCATCATCCTCATTATAATCTGTATTGGAATTTGTTTCAGTTCTGAGAATAGGAACATTGTCTGGATTACATTCAATTTGCATTTGTACTATATTTGAATCACTGTCATAATTTGTTATATTTGATACATTTTCATTGAGTTTATTTAAACCATTTTCATCACTCTTATTGGTGTCATCAGCTTCACTTCTGGTGCTGGTTGCATTTGAATCATTATCACAGTTTACTACATTATTATTATTAGATTTAGCTGCACTTGAACTATCATTTCTGTTGAAAACATAATCATCATCATCACATAGAAGAGATTTATTTCCATATGTACCCTTAAAACCTGTAAGAAATTTTAAAATAGTTAATAAATTATTGAAATTTTAAAAACCTGCAAAAATATGTTTTAATTANAAATCAAAAATATTTAATTTTCAAAAGGAGAAAAAACTTTATTGCTTTTTCCAATAAATTTATACCAAATCATAAAACTTAGTCCAGTAAAATATACAAAAACAAACTATTTTTATATTATATATGTGTACAGGTTATTACAAAAAGAATGCTACCACTTTAAATTACTGTAATTATATTAATTATTATCTGAGAAATATCCAGTACATACCAATTGACAGACAAACTATCCAAATTTCTTGTCTTATCTACTATGTCTAGGAAGGGAAATAATAAAAATAGTAACTGTAATAGAGAAGGCATTTTGTGTTCTGTAGTTTGCAAAGTTGAAATAACTCATCATTGTGCAATATAAGTAATCTGTAGAACTGTGGCTGCTGTGAGGAGTGACAATAGATATATTATAGTGAGCATAGGAAGAATATGAGTATTGGTTGGATGTGTGCTGTGTGACATTAGGTGCACACATTGAGAAATTGTAATGGAAAAATGGTAAAACTTGGACAGTTTTCTAATTTATTAATGTAAATTAAAACATTCTCAGATAATAATTAATAAAACTATAATACTTTAAAATGGTAGCAATCATTTTGATAAACCCTGTATATAAATAAAACTATTAAATGAATTTCATTAAAGACAGAACTGCATCTATAATCTATAATCCATCCACACATCTATCTAAAAATATACTTTAACTGTAAGTCCCTTTAATCAATCATTATTAACATATAGTATAAAAAGTACTAAATCTATTGACATGTTCTTTTTGTATCTATGTTATCTTTATCTTTAGAACTTTAGTTATTTATTGCTTTTTGCACAAGAGCCTATTAAGCTTATAGCATACAGCAGTATGCTATAAGCTATAATGTAATAGCAAAAAACAATATAGACAAAATAAATGTAAAAAACAATACACTGAAAATTATATGAATGAATGAATAATCAATAAAATACAATTAAATACATTGTGCAAATGTATAGGCTTGCACAACCAATCCACTAACTTAGTAAGTTTTAAACAAAGAAACTAATTTTTTATAGTTTTTTTCAAGAAATCAAATATACTATTTCAAAACCCTTTAACAAATCTCATGATCACAAAAAAGTCATACAACAAAGTTGCTCTTTATTTTGAGGCTATTCTTTGGCTCAACAAATAAAACTTGTAAAAAAATTATATATATATATATATATAAAATTTTTTACAAGTTTTTTTTTTATATATGTGTAAAAAAATGACTATATATATATATATTGTCATTTTTTTACACATACACACATATATAGTCCTAGATATTCTATTAATGATATGATTTTACATTTTGCCATTGCCAGAGAGACATTTTTATATAAAATTAAAATTCACAGGAAGAAAAGAGCCTCAAAATAAAATTCAACTCTGTTGTGTTCTTGAGATGTGTAAAAAGAACAAATTATGAATTACCTATTTTTAATGTGGAGTGTTTCTTCTAATTCTGTAAATTTTAATTATATACTTATTGTTCTAAATATTTTATCAAAATATAACTTGTTTAACATGGTCTTAAAAACATTCTCTTTATATAGATTTCTGTAAATATAGTGTTATGTTAAGTTTATTAAATATACTAAATTCAATAAATTGCAATTTTTAAATATATATATGTGGGAATCCAGGGTTAAGAGAAAGTTGTCTCTCACCCGTGTTCAGCTTCGGATCCGAAAGACCCACATTGCTGAGTCTCTGTAGGAATAAACATAGTACTACTANTATATATAGTCATTTTTTTACACATACACACATATATAGTCCTAGATATTCTATTAATGATATGATTTTACATTTTGCCATTGCCAGAGAGACATTTTTATATAAAATTAAAATTCACAGGAAGAAAAGAGCCTCAAAATAAAATTCAACTCTGTTGTGTTCTTGAGATGTGTAAAAAGAACAAATTATGAATTACCTATTTTTAATGTGGAGTGTTTCTTCTAATTCTGTAAATTTTAATTATATACTTATTGTTCTAAATATTTTATCAAAATATAACTTGTTTAACATGGTCTTAAAAACATTCTCTTTATATAGATTTCTGTAAATATAGTGTTATGTTAAGTTTATTAAATATACTAAATTCAATAAATTGCAATTTTTAAATATATATATGTGGGAATCCAGGGTTAAGAGAAAGTTGTCTCTCACCCGTGTTCAGCTTCGGATCCGAAAGACCCACATTGCTGAGTCTCTGTAGGAATAAACATAGTACTACTAAGAATAGAATTTGAATGAAATTTAAATCTTATGTTTAGAGCTTACATTAACATAATACTGATGTGATGTCTAATAATATATATTTTTCCAGATAAACATTGTTTATTTTAATGTATTTAAATAAAAAAATAATACCTGAATACATTGCTCTTTCCAAACTAAAGTTTCCTCTATTAATTATATTGCCAAGACTATGTAACAGAGATAAAACAATTGTACTGTCAGTTGGTCTTAAATCTGCTGAGAATACACCATTCAACATATCAGCAAAATACTGATATATTGCACCAATATCAGGCTCTGAATCTGTTCTTGGTTTCAAATGTGGCTCATTTTTAGCAGCATTAGAAAATAACTGAAATAAATAATATCTTTTAATAGTCAGAATTACTCCTGTGCATCTAAGGGTTAACTTAATCATTCACTGTTCATGACACAAATTCAAATATATCAATGTACTTACCTCTGCAAATATCATGGATGAATCATCTCTCTTAAATCTAGCGGGAACTTCACCACTTGCAGCTTCATACCAGGATTGAATAATTGTTTTCTTATTGTATTTACTATCCTTTTTATCTTTACTATGCTTTTTTAATAGAGATGATCTTCTGTATTCCAAATGCAAACTGAAATCATATTGTATACATTTAAAAATCTATAATCCTACAATCAAAATACAGTAGACCCCCCTATAATGCTTAGATACGTTCCACGCTAATCAAATTTTACGTTGTAGGAACGATTAAATACATGAGCCAATCACAGCCCGATAGGTGGGAACTTTACGGACTAAGGCTGTTTGAAAGGTTTTCTTCTATAAAATTAACCGATTCTAAACTAATTCGACTCAACATTTCCAAAATACGTATAATTTTTTGGAAATAATCTGTATAAACTATGCTATAAACAAAAAATTATAGGATTACTTACCGAGTGTGTACCATTCGACTACGCCGTTGCTTAAAGCTGGTTTTCATCGCGGAACAGCACATTAAACGGCGGCCACGATTTCTAATAACGAATTTTTCGCATAAAAATAACTTGACCTTTGGAGACATCATTAATATAAATAAATTTTTATGGACGTTGAATAAGAAGTGTTTCTTTCACAAGAAATGTATAAAATTAGTGCTGTATTAGACTTACGGTACCTAATTTACATACTGTACAGATGATAATAAACTCAACTTACTAGCCTAAAATCTCCGTAGGGTGTTGCCAGGCGGCAGAAAGCATATATATAATTATAATAAAGTTACAATAAATTAAGTTAATATATAATTATATGTACAGTACCTAATTTATATATAATTTATATATAATATTAAACAAATGATAGCAAACTCAATTTAGCCGCTCCGTAGCGTGGCGCAGGGTCGGAGGTAAGTAGTTCGGCTGCTCATCCACTATTGGTCCAGACTCTATCAATCTTGTCGCGAAACGACGTTATAGGAGGTACTTTATACGAAAGTTTCTACAATTTTTTCGCTACATTATAGGAATTGTCGTTATAGGAACGTACGTTATAGGGGGGTCGACTGTATATCAAATATAGAATTGCTTAACACATTACAATATTGAAAATGTTACAAAATTCTAAATCTTTATTTTAACATTTTTGTTTCTAAAAAATATCCATTTCAAAGAAAATAATAACTTCCACGTAAAGATGGTGGACATGGCCTGATTGACATAGTTAACCTTCACTACAAACAAATACAGACACTAAGAATTTTTCTACAAAAAACAAGAAACATCACAGTTACATAAAGCAGAAACTCTAGCAGACTCAAATAATACAGCATTAAATTTACACTCACAACATATAGACACAACACAATATATAAAAAGCATAGAATCATTAAGCAATCATGGGTTCTAAAGAAACACCATGGCAGGTATCCCTACAACCTGGTTTAGGATTTTGGATTTTGTTGACAAAACTGCATCAAACAGCAGGTTAGCTTGGGGATGCCTCTTTGGGGAGACAGAAGGATTCATGATTGCTATTCAGGATCAGGTCATATATACTAAAAACTACAGAAAACACACCCAAAGATACAAAACTCACAAATGATACATGCAGAAAATGTTACATCATGCCAGAAACTATACAACACATCACTTCTGGTTGCAAGCTCTTGATACAGACAGATTATTTACATAGACATAATCAAGTGACAAATATAATACATCAAGAGCTTGCAAAGAAACACAAATTATTAGACATCCATGAGCCATACTACAAATACATCACACAGACAGTATTGGAAAACAACATGCACAAAATATACTATGACAGAGCCATAATCTATATATATATGTTGCAAGAACATCTGCTGCCAAGAACGTGTATTGTCTGGAACACAGAAATAATAAATGGTGGTCCCTTTTGGGCAGACTGTCTTCAATTTTATTTAAAAATAATAATCTCCATCGGACGAAAATTTACAGATATATGTTGCAGTCAAAACCCGTTTTTAGTTAGAACATGTTTTAACTAGTTGAAACTTTTGAATTTGCCAATTAGAACGCAGTCGGTTAACTGATGTGACGGTTGATTGGTGGTCAGATAATCAATGCTCTACTGTAATAATAATACTGTATAAGGTTATAAAGGTGAAATTCAGACATTTTGATTTTTTATAAGAAATGACTAGAAAGAAATGTTCTAAACTGTTCAACATGGGTATATAAGGAGAATAACCAGGAGGCATTACTCATTTCATCAATATTTCATTGGAAATCAATGCATGTCTGATAATAGGAAACTTTTGAAAAAACACATTTGAGTACTGTTGCTCTCACTTCAAAAGTGGCAATAATGCAACAAAAGCTTATGTTCTCACCTATAAAGTATTTGGCAAGAACACAGTCAACAGATAGACATGCCTGTGACTGTGTCAGTTGGTTCAAGAAATTCAAAAAGATTTCTAGCTTCAAGATGAATCTCTCCAGGCAGTGATTCCATCATTGATGATGATATTCTACTGCAATTGAGAAACAATAATCCATGGTTGACCACCATAAAATTAGCATAACAACTTGAGTGTTCTCATATACTCCAAAAATAGACAAAATCTAATACTATCACATCATGCCAGCATATAGAGCAAAGATTACTTTAGAGAAGCCAGCCTGTCGGAACTGGGAGGTTCTACGTAATCCACCTTACAACCCAGACTTGGTGCCAACTGATCAGCATCTATTTCATGTCCTTCTAAACTATATTGCCAATAAATTGATATAGTTCAATAACAATATGTGATGCTTGAGACTTTCTTCAAAGGAAAACTCCAGTCATTCTACGATCACAGGATTGAAAGTGTGCAGCAAAGATGGCAAGATATGATTGATATTGATGGTGATTACCTACAAGAATAAACTGTAGTTTTGTCGAGTTAATTGTCAATACAGCATTTTTTCTAAAATGTCTAAATTTCACATTTACAACCTGAGAAAGCAGCTATATATTATTATTCTGTTATTAATTTTAATTAATATGGTTTCAAGTTTGGTTAACTTAAAGAATGAAGTATCTATTCCAAATATTTTCAAATAACATAATTCATTCGTTATAAGTTCTATTGTCAGCTATTATCCCCTGCATTAAATGATGATGACTTCCTGAATATACTGTAATTCCTGTATGACTGGTGTAATAAGTCTAGTATTTAAGTCAGACAATAAGAGCCAAGAATAAAATTCATAAACAAATAACTAGACATGAAGCATTGTAGTAAGTAATTCATTTGATAATTCAAAAATTTTTAATTAATAAAAATATAGATTATATCATTGCTGTTTTGTCAAAAGGGTGTAAATGTCAAATACCATATTCATTTTACAAGAGAGCTGAATAAAGTTTGTGTATTTTTTAAAAACCATGACAAAAGGAGTGTTAGGAACATAAGATATTCTTCTTGTCAAAAACATCAATATATTAGGCTATACTATTAGTGTTGTAGTTGTTAAATTAAACACAAAATTTCTTAAAAACTACAGGATGGTGGAATCAAGACTAAAGTTTTATGAAAATCCACATACAACACACTATTTATTCCATGGGTCTCACATGATCACTTTCACAGCCTTGATTAGAAGGGTATGCACCCATTGTTGACTCTACTACATTAAAACTCTTGGAGATGAGCATCTCGGTCATTATTGTAGGATCATACAAATATTCATTGTTAACTTCCAGAACAGTCCAGCTTTGGACAGATGTGACACTACTGAAGTAGACTGTAGAGTGGTGAAGTACAATCACCATCTTGATATCATATTTAAGGAAAAGTACAAGCAGGAAAATATTATATAAAAGAAATCCTATAGTTTATAAACTCCTGAAGAATGACAAAGATCCACGAAACTCCATAAGAATATCAGTTGTTTATACCACACTCCTATCACAGATGACAGGGTAACACATGACCCTGTTTATGTAGGAGCCACCATGCCATGCCATGGACAAAATAATATTGAATTGAAGGATGCCATAAATGTGACTGATAAATTGGGAGTTGAATATGGTGGAGACGAGTACTGATTTAGTTCATTTGTATAATGCAACACAACATGTGGATTGATCTGCTGAGGAGGATACCTCCCAGGAGGACTTTTATTGGAAAATGGCCACTATTTAGGTGTTACAAATATGAAAAAACTCCATGTGTCAGCGTGTTAGTTAGGTACAAACCCACAACCAACTACTAGTGTTCAGTGATCTTATCCACTCAGCCATTGGTAGACCACACTTCTCCAAAGTATATAGACTGAATTCAATCAGACAAATATTAACTAGTAGTTAGATGTTAAAGTTTAAGTATCTCTCAGCCCATAATGTTTGTGAAAAGTGAAAACTTTTTGATTGTGACCCAAACACAAATTTGAAAATTGTTCATATTGTTGCTCTTTCCTTACATAATGTCTACATAGTGTATTCAATTGATTAAAATCATACGAAACACACGATTTATGATTTGATAATACAGTGGAACCTCGGTATACGTCTGCTTTAGAATACGTCAAATTCGGAATACGTCCTGTTTGGACAAAACAAATTTTGCTCGGTATACGACTTAATTATACGCGCCATCTATGAACAACTGTCGGTGTACTAGACCAGACTAGACGTTCGCGGTGCCACAGTTTATAACTTTATTAGATTTCTTCTGATTTTAATTTCTAAGTAAAATTTTATTATTAATCATGAATTGCAAGAAGGCAAATGAAAAGCAACAGAAAACTAAAAAAATGACTAGATTCACAACTGAAAAAAGAGATTGTTGAGAAATATGAAGGTGGCACGTGTGTTCGAGATTTAACTGTTGCATACGGTATTCCGAGAACGACGATATTGACAATCGTGAAAAATAAAGACATTATTAAATCTGCTAACGTTGCGAAAGGGGATAAATCAATTTCTAAACAGAGATCGAAGACATTAGATCATGTCGAGAAATTGCTTTTGCTTTGGATAACTGAAAAACAGTGTGCTAGAGACACCGTATCAGAAGCAATTATTTGCGAGAAAGTTACAAAAATACATGCTGATCTCATGAAAAATCAAGCAGGAACTAGCGAGGAAAGCGAGGTGTTTCAAGCCAGCCTTTTTTTTTTACATGAGAACGAATTAATCATTTTTACATTACTTCTTATGGGAAAGGTTGATTCGGTATACGTTCTATTCGGTATAAGTCAAACAATCAGGAACGGATTAAGGTCGTATACCGAGGTTCCACTGTATAAGGCAATACAATGCAGGCAATTTGCCAGGAAGTATGCCTCCTGGGAAGACTTTCCCATGGGAAATTGTCCCTTAATTACGTGTTAGATACCAGAAGAAAACTCGGAAAATGCCGTGTTGTGTCTTGACTGTTACGGGTCAGGAAAAAATCCACAATCATCAGTATTCAGTGGTTTGAAAAATGTGTGAAGTAATTAAAGAAATCAATTACAAACAGCAATGACTACAAGTTAACTTTTAATCTCTCAGTCACATACTAGTTTGCAAATTTTGTTAAAAATGATGAAAAAGCTAAACTTTTTAATTGGACAAAGTGAAAAAGTATAAATTTAAGTATTGACACATCCTACCATTTTAAGCAGAAGGAAATGCAATTTTGAAAAAGCAAAAACTTTTCTTTGACATATTCATTGTATCTTTCCTTGGATTAGTAATTTATTCATTCATTTTAGAAATTATTTATAGTTTCTTAAAATGTTATCAATAATCCTCCCATTCTTTCCAATTTTATAAATTTTTAATATGCTCGCTTTACCCAGGGGTGGACTGGCTATATGGAAAATGTGGAAAATTCCACATGGGCTGTATACAATTTGGGCCATTTTTTCTAAATATGTACATAATGTACCGTTTGGTTAAGTTTAATTTAAAAAAATTCATATATTTTTTTGTTAAGTAAGGTGTATAATATAGGTATATAGGTACATGTGTAGGCCTGTATCATTTTACCCGGCCCTACCCGTATCCGAAGTTAAATTAGTTCGGCCGATATGAGCCAAACATTATATTAGCCCAAACAGAAAGAATCCTAAGATAAAAATAATCAAAACTACCTTCTAAACAGAGAAAATTGGTCATTTGTTTACATTGCTAGAAACTATTCAGCACTCCTATGAATCTTAATGCTAAACTATAGAAATGCGAGTTATTAGTTTCGTACCTAGCCACCAAAGCGATGATTGTAGTCATAACAAATTTAATGGCCACTTATATTATTTCCTTTATTTTATAAATAGGTAAGTAAAAAATGTTATTCAATAATAATTTCTTTATATTCCAAACAATTTAATTAAAAATAATCTATTTTGTAGTGTGAGGCGGGGACCTCACCCCTCTCCGATAGGAAACTGATTGTCGAACTAAAGCTAATAAATCGGTGATTTATTTCGTAAACAAGAACGAGTGTAAGNAAACTGTAGAATTGCGAGTTATTAGTTTTGTACCTAGCCACCAAAGCAATGATTGTAGTCATAACAAATTTAATGGCCACTTATATTATTTCCTTTATTTTATAAATAGGTAAGTAAAAAATGTTATTCAATAATAATTTCTCTATATTCCAAACGATTTAATTAAAAATAATCTATTTTGTTGTGTGAGGTGGGGACCTCACCCCCTCTCCAATAGGAAACTGATTGTCGAACTAAAGCTAATAAATCGGTGCTTTATTTCGTAAACAAGAACGAGTGTAAGACGATTTAATTGTCGCATTCCCGGACCAAATTCANATTTTGTTGTGTGAGGTGGGGACCTCACCCCCTCTCCAATAGGAAACTGATTGTCGAACTAAAGCTAATAAATCGGTGCTTTATTTCGTAAACAAGAACGAGTGTAAGACGATTTAATTGTCGCATTCCCGGACCAAATTCACACGTCTTCGATCTAGATCAGGGAAAGTGGGAGAGAGAGCAAACGGGGAGAGTTCGACTATCATCTTACAGCGAGTTCAAAGCACATTAGACCAAAATTTACGGGACTACACTAAATATTCCTGAAAACGCGTTACAAAAATTAAGCAGTACTGTACTTTAATACAGTTTAATCCAGTAGCTACTCAACACAATATTATTTCATAATTGCAACATTTTAAATCGTCATGGAATATTTTAAAGGAAAATGTCAATGAAACTTTTATAAAATTAAATGAAAATGAACATTCTACTGATGATCAAGTAGAAACTAATAAAGATGCGATTTTATCCTCTTACTGCATTGCTTGCAAAAATTGCTCTATTTGTTGTTATACTATATTATTCAGATATAACATGTTAAGTGTCGCTTATTCTATACTTGGTCAAGCATACAAATATCTGCTATTTATGTCTGTAACACAAGTGTCCGGTGAACAAAGCTTTTCTATGTTAAAATTAATTAAAAGCAGGCTAAGATACTTATAAGTATCTCGCAAGAAAATCTAGAAGCCTTCGTGTTAATGTTGTTAGAGAAGGATTTTTTAAACGAAATAAATTCTGATGATGTCGTTAATATTATTGCTCAACAAATCAAACTTCTAAATAAAAAATTAATATTGTAGAATATAGACTTGTGCTTATTGTAATTTTTGTCAATGTTGTATTTTGAATATATTTAAATATAAATAAGAAAAAAATACATTTTTTTTTGTGGGCTGGGCTGGTAATAAATTTTCCACACAAAAATTTTAGGACCAGTCCGCCCCTGGCTTTACCGGAAGAAGTTGACGATACTAACGAAAACAAAGAAAATCACTACGATCACCGACCGGCATAGGGCATTTCACCGGTAAGCAGTCACCACACAATGTTTTAGTAGCGAATTCTACTACTAAGCAGCGATCTCAATCTGTAATCTTTAAACTGTACACATAATTAATGGCTGGCCCCTCGTAATCTTTCGTATCAATAATTTTATTAATCAGAAACTTCTTACCGAACTTCATTTACGTCTTTTGTCTTGATGAAATCGGCCACTTTATCCAAATGATAAAATCCAAATTGTCTAAGGCCTCTCAACAAGAGAGCTTTTTCGCTAAAAGAAATACAAGCAAATCTTGCATTAATGCTGCTTCTTTTGGTAAATATGCATATATACAAGTCTACCCCCCCCCTATAACACTGTTGATTATTTTATTTTATATGAATTCCATGTTGTACGAGTCACTTAGATTTTACAAATACGTGAACAGTTCACAGCCCGGCATACATATTTGTAAAATCTAAGTGACTCGTACAACATGGAATTCATATAAGATGGAATAATCAACAGTGTTATGGGGGGGTCGACTGTAATTAATTGAAACTTACGACATTGTCCATGTTGACGTTCCAAAATCAACTGTACTCCTACGTCGAACTTTTTTACGTGTTATTATTTCGTCTCGTTCTTCGTCTTCCCGTATTTTTTTCTTTTTTTTCGACGAATTCGACCTCTTACGGTTCCCCATCGTCAGTTATTACGTCGTATTCACATTAGAAATATACTATTTTACTAATTTCCATTTGTTTTTCTTCCATTCGTAATTATCAGTTTTAAATTTACTTTATTTATATTGAAGTACGTGAAACGTTTAAGCGCGATTTACACTGAACACGTACGAAAACAAGGAGCGCGAACAACGAAACTACTAGCGCCAACAACGAAACTACTAGCGCCACCTGTACAAAAATATGAAAAAAATTTCAAAAAAATTATATCAGTACTACAATGAAATACTATTATGTTATTTTGTTAAAATCTATTTTTCTAAACTGATTAAAATTGTCCTCTGTAATTTTATTATATTCCAAAAATGGATTAATCATTTAAAAGTTTGAGTGAACTTTTTAAATTCCATACAATAGGCTATTTTAATAAACCTAAACCCATTATGGATTCGACCAGGCCCACAACGGAGTAGTTGGTTGGTGAGGGAAGGGGCCTTGTCATACCCTAACGGACGACTTTCCGAAATATTTCAGAATTTTTGATCCCGTCCGGATTTTCATGCCGGCTCCCCAGAGCAGTAAGCCGCTACTCCAACTGCTAGGCCATTCGACATTTTTTAAATTGACTGAGAAAATCTAAGGACTTTTGTGGTTTCCACAAAATATAAAGTCATTACTTTTGCTGTCATGAATTTTAAGATTTTAGTAATGGAAATATGTTTGCCGTTCTCTTTTTAAATAAAATACATCTAAGTACAGTACGGTTTACATATATTATTCGTGTATGTATACACTTATGCAACGTATAATACATCATGCGGCCTTACTAATTCCTTCTGAAATACGTTATGGCATTCCGATTAAAAATTATTTTCCATCTTTGGATTAATGTAGTATATATATTTTTAAAAACATTGTAAATTTTTTTTATAATACCGTAATCTATCAATATAATAAGAATTTTTAGTAACGTTTCTAGATTTACAGAATAGTGCATTCAAGACGCTGATCCGCCATATTTGGTTCGATTGTTAACGTTCTACTAATATTGCCACATTTTAATTGTTAATAATATCTGCGAGTTGCGTTATTTTATATCTAAAAATAACTTTAATATTATATTAAATCAATAAAATGCATAATACGTATGGTAAAATATAAATTGTGCTTGCTAAACAGAAAAGAATTTAAACACGATGGAATTCTATTTGAATACTCTACTCTACTCTAATTCACGAAGTCAAAAAATGACATTTTGAGCAAATATGTCATACGAACAGGGGTTTTATTCTTAAATTAAGTTAGTATTTTTTTTCTGCGTGTAATTCATCTTTTATTACTTTTATACTGTAAGGTCTCTTTTTTATGCGATTTTGAAGTTGTGCAGTTTGTATTTCATCCAAAAATTTCTTGGACAAATATACATATAGGCTTGTTTAGGAAGCCCGCGTATAGACAGTCTCCAAAAATCGTGGAACGCTCAAAGCTCACTCCATTTGTTCCACTGACATATAACGTTTATGGATGCAAAGAACAGCTAGATCTACCTTAATCGCTTTAGTTCCTAGCAATTTTTGATATAAATGTAATTAAACATAAAAAATACTTAAAACTGAAAAAAACGAAAGAAATGCGTTAATTTTGAAGAAAAAGCTTCAAAGTTTAACTTCCTTTGTCTCGCCCTTCTGTGAAATTTAACACCGATGAGTCATTGTTTACACATCTGGATGACCTTGAACACAGCTGGAGTTGGATTTCCCGGGGCATTCTCATAGACGTCGCGGGAGGACAAGGGTTTAAAGTAGGGTGAACACTAGCTGGCCGTATATTTTTAAATATTTTTAAAAAATTTGGAGACTTAAAAAACATTCCAAAAATTCAAAAAAAAAATTTAAAAAATGGCCTTAAGGACCGTGTTTTATGTAACGCTATGTAACCTGCCCGAGTTAACTCGGGCGAGGAACTAAAGGGGTTTTAATTAACTCTTCACATCCAGATGTCAGTGATTTGTTTTTAGAGTGAGCTTTTGCAATTCGGGGATTCCCCTTGTACATGATACTTACCATCGACAAGTCGCTATTACATCATTCTGAGTTTCGCATTGAAAGGTATAAACTGTAATTGTTTTGAAATTAAATTTTATTTTAGCGGTGTTTTGTTCATTTTTATAATAAGTAGCGAGTTTAAATTTTGCTGATTTCAAGTTGCAGTAATAAGCAGCCTATTTCTTTTAATTTCTGCAAACTTTTTTATGCGGTTTTAAGTTAATTTTAACTCGTTGTTTTGGTTTTATGCGATTTTAGAAAATTACGGAACGTATCCCTACTTTTCCAAGGCAAGTAAAGTCTTTTTTTATGCGAATTTTTTATATGCGCTTTTCTGTAGAACGTATCCACCGCATAAAACGAGACCTTACAGTACTCCCAAATTTCTTCTATTTTTAGTATATATTTTTAGAAATATTTATGTATCACGACAAATATGTTTTATTTCACACATTTGGTACCTCCTGCCATCTGTAGGGAAAAACTTTAACTAATTACGTAAATATGAGAAAATGGCGACCGAGTGGGAAGAAGTGAAGAGACTCGCTGCAGATTTTCAAAGAGCTCAATTAAGTAGCACTGTACAAAGGTACTTACGGATAAATAACGCACGAAACGTAATCTCGTTTAATTATAATTAATTTTGAAAGAGAAAATTATTTATTTAATAATATTTCGTACGTCGATTAAATCACAGCTGTTTGAAATTGAAATATATTGCCACATCATCAGTTGATTATTTGCTTTTTTAACTAATTTGGTTCTTATCTATTTTTATGGTCTAGCACTTGGGAAAAACGTATTTCATAAGACGGTGAACGGACAATTGATGTGTTCTTTATTATATTTATCAAGTTAAAATTTGAAAAATTGACTACATTTTATATTCTTTTCAAGTCTTTCATATAGTCTTATACAGTCGACCCCCCATAACACTGTTGATTTTTCCGTTTTATATGAATTCCATGTTGTACGAGTCACTTAGATTTTACAAATACCTGTGCCGGGCTGTGAATGGCTCACATATTTGTAAAATCTAAGTGACTCGTACAACATGGAATTCATATAAAACTGAAAAATCAACAGTGTTAAAGGGGAGTCGACTGTATTTATTTAAATCCTTGAACATAAATTGTATAATTCATTGATCTTACAGGATACAAATTTCTCATATGAAAACATAGAAAACAAAAAAACATTAAAATTGACAATGATTTGATTCATTCTTATGATTAATAAAATAAATTTACAAAATTAAAATGTATTTATTAAGATTTTTGGTTTGATAATCAAAAACTGTGTAAGTTTGCAATATAATTTTAATTAATAGCGTACGTCGCATGTAAATGTCACGCGTGTCTTTTTAATATTTGTTTAACGATTTTGAAAATAAAATGCGTTATTGAAAAATTTTATATTTTCAGGTTATCCGAAAGGAATTGCATTGAAATTGTTAAAAAACTTATAGAGTTGAAATTAATTGATGTTATTTTTACGACCGATGGTAAAGAGTATATTACTCCTCAACACTTGTTAAAAGAAATAAAAGATGAATTGTTAGTCCACGGAGGTAAAAAGTTTATCGTAATTTTTTTTTATTTTTTGTATTAAATAAAACATTGAACGTGTAAAGTGTTTATCGCATCTCTTTCTTAATATAAATATAGTTTTAGCGCCACCTGTACAAAAATATGAAAAAAATTTCAAAAAAATTATATCAGTACTACAATGAAATACTATTATGTTATTTTGTTAAAATCTATTTTTCTAAACTGATTAAAATTGTCCTCTGTAATTTTATTATATTCCAAAAATGGATTAATCATTTAAAAGTTTGAGTGAACTTTTTAAATTCCATACNCAGTCTTTTATATATATAAAAAAAACTATATTACATACAAATAAAAACCCAGCGAAGCAGGTCCTTGCAGCTAGTTAATAAATACAATTAAAAAGGGATAAAAGACTTTTTGGTGAATCTTTTGCATTTTTTTTGTACTTAGCCTCAAATGAAGGTACAGTTTTATCACATTTTTGCATGATCCTGTGTGTTTGAAAAACTTTTAAGATACTTATTTGTCTTCAGTTGCATTAAAAACTTCTTTAATAAACACTGGTCTACTCCAGGCTGCATTATAATATAATGCAGATTTTCAATCTGGTTGTTCACCAGATTGAAAAATTTTCACCATATTGTCAATTTGGTTGACATCTTGGGATAGAATTCTTGGGTAATGGTGTCCTGTTTTCACTATTCATGTGGTGGCTAAAAAACAAAATGCTCATGACCATAAAAATTCTACAGCTATATTCAGCTCTATAGAAACAATAGCAGATAGATACTACATTATTCAGATAAAGCCAGAACTTTAAGTTGCTTTTTGCTTTATCCATTTTATTTTAGATAATGTCATCTTGTGACTTAGATACAATGTGCTTTATACAGATAAAGTTTAAAATTAGTAGATTGTTACTTGCTTTAATCAAAAGACTTGGATAAAGTTAGCATTAGGCTTATTAATTTTAGGTTTATTTGATACATGGACTTTAGCAGTAGTATATAGTTTTTATAAAGAAAAAAAATTGAGATTTTACATATTTGTGTTATGTACAAAAAAGAAACAGTTCAATCTTCAGACAAACAATAGCCTTGTAAAACTGGAACAATTTTTTTATAAAACAATTTAAAGTTAATTGAAATTTGTTCTAAAATAAACATTTAAATTCTAAATTAGTACAAAAAATAAAATATACTATTGAATGTAATTTTATAATTTCTGCAATTCAATTTTAAAAAGTTTTCAAATTAAAAAATAATTTATAATTTCAAATAAAAGATAAAAAGAAAATTTTTATTTTTATTATTGGGCTGCAATTTGAAAAAACTGTAGACTTATAAATTCTCAGTCATCTATCTGTCTGTCTTTATTAACCTCAAGAATAGAGTTAGATAGATGAAAGATGAGACTAGATATGGAAACCTTGGGGGCAGGAGGCTCAGATTAACTATATATGAACTTCTGATGGAAACTGAAAGTCACGTTATTTCAATTAAAAAATTTTCCCCTGAAAGTTGTTGGATAGATGACTAGCAAGACTTTATTGTTAAAGGAAAAGTGTGATGTACAGGGGCAAGTCAGTACTAATTTGAGGTGAAGTGCATATATTTTAAATTAATTAATTAAAAATATGATTAAAAATTGCAGCCTGGCATTATGATGATGTCACAATAAATACATGCTCATTCCATTATTCATTTTATATACAGGGTGGGAAAGAAAGTCACTTAACACCTCTGTTACAGAATATAGAATGTATCCAAGTTAATTTTGGGACATTTCAATTTTCAACGCGAGTGTTGAGTGTTGAAGTCAACAATTTGACATCATCAACAACATTCCAACTCAAGTACAAAGTGCTTAATTCCCATAATTTCATTCTCAGCAAGATGGATTCCATTCAAATGTCTTACCCACAATTTATTGGAAAGTAACAGTCAACATATCTGTTGAGTGCTGAGTGTGTTGAGACAGCGCTGACAACAGCACCACTTCAAAAGGAACAACTTTTAACGAACATTGAGATCAGTGCTGAGTCAGTGTTGAAAATTGGAATGTCCCATTTGCTCATGTCAGGAACACATTAGATCAAGGTGGAAACAGATCAATGTTTGTTACATGCAGATGGCAGCCATGCTGAATACAATTCTAAAACTAAATGGGAAGGGGGTCATGTGACACATCATTTAGGGTCAGAATTTCACAAGGAATTGATTGCTGAAAGATTTATTGACCTACCTCAAATAATTATGGAGTTATGCACGTTACATGATGTGTTCAATGTGCTGTTCCTGAGCTTGTGTGCAGGCCCATAGACTCCTCTCTCATTCACGCACAACATTGTGCAATCACATCTGGTGTGATAGCACTACGTGCTTTAAAGATCCATTCCTGCAAATGTGCCAGACTGCACGCATATTTTGACAGCATACAAGAGAGACTTTACGTGTCCCCATAAATAAAAGTTCAGTGACTTCAAATCGAGAGTGAGGAGGGCCACTCAACAGGGCCATGCTAGCCAATCTGCCTACCAGAAAACTGAACATCAAGATAATCTCGTAGAAGGTAAAGTGTGGTGGGGCACTGTCTTGTTGAAAAAAGTCAAGAAATGTGCCATCCTCTGTAATGTACTCTGCATTGAGATTATCACCAATGAAAAAATGGACCAATAACCCTGGTTCTCCATATCTCACACCACACTATCATTTTATAAACTCCAATCATTTTGCTGGTATCATTCCAATGAGGGTTTTTAGGAGACCAGTAACATGTGTTCTGTTTGCTAACTTTCTCATTAACATAGAAATTTGCCTCATTTATGTGGATAATTTTGAATCCAAAGTGCTGATCTTCCTGTTCAGACATCATTCACTAAACTGGACCTGACGATCGGTATCATCTTTACTTAGGTAATGCTGTAACTGCAATTTATAAGGGTGCCATTTATGCTCATGCAGGATCTTATGGATTGATGGTCTGCTGATACCGCATTCCTGAGACAATCATTGTTGGCTGTGGGGTGGACTTTGCAAATGATGCCAGCCCTACATATGGTGGTCTCTTCTTCTGTAACATCTTTGGGACAGCTCAAATGTTTCTTATCATGTACCAATCCCTGAATTTCTGGAGTAGGTTGGCAACTGTTACATGTGACACGGACTTTCTGTGTGGATGACGTTGATTAAAATCCTGTGCAATTACTCTGGAACTTCTCTCCCTTGTCATCAGGATGATTTTGATGTGTTCTTCCTGTGTTAGAGGGCATTGTGTTGTCTGTTCTTCACATCTGTAACAATAAAGGAAACACATTAATAACTCTGTAACCATTTGAGGTAGGTCAATAAATCTTTCAACAATCCTGTGAAATTTGATCCTAAATGATGTGTCACATGACCCCCTTCCCATTTACAGTTTTGGAGTTGCATTCAATACATTCAGTATGGCTACCATCTTAATGGCAGTCATACTGAATGCAATTGGTAATTTATGTGTTCCTGATATGAGCAAATTTACTTTGGGTACATTCTATACTCTGTAGCAGAGGTAAGTGACTTTCTTTCCCACCCTGTATATTTGTCTAAGGTATAAGTAAATATAACATAAATATATTATTGAATATTCTTGATATTTGATAAATTGTATTGTTTTTTATATTAAATGTCAAAGTATATAAAAGAAACAAAGTAACAATTATTTCTTAAAACAAATAAAACTTAGACAAATGTTGTATAACATTACTTTGGAAATTTAATATTTTAAAATTATTCTTAAATTAATAATAACTTCTTTTTCTGGCAATATTGAATTTTTATCAGATGGTTGAAAAGTCATGAAATAACCAAATACACTAGATAACCTTAGTCTAATTTTTAATAGCAAAACATACATAAAAACTGTAAAACTGGATATAATTAATTAATAATTAGCTTAATTTGGCCTGAAAATAATCCAACTTTTAGATATACAAAATTATGAGAATGGAATTTAGAATATTTGTGTTTATATAATTTAATTTAGTTTCTTTCAATCTTGTATAGTTACATAATGAAGCTATAAATATTTCCTTGCAAATATACCAAGTTTTTGATTAAAACATTTAAGATTTAAAAAAAAAATTTAGTTGAAAGTTTGAAAGGTTTTTTAAAACAATATACAAGTAGAATTGTAACAAGTCTCTCCTCAGCTGATAACTGAAAATAAATAGTACAACGATTATGGTTCTTATTCCAAAATTGTTTACCAAGTGAGAAATTGACTGAAGAGAGACTTTTATCATCATTATATAAGAGTGGCTCAATAAATAATCATCTGGGGTAACAACTATGTTGTTGCTTATGGCTGATTATTTATTGATTTACCCATATATACACCATTGGATAAGTATTAAACTCTTTCCATGCCAATAGCCACTGTCATTGCCATCAACTTCAGATCACTCTGTTCACTACACTTTCTATCATTAAAATACTACATATACATTAAAAAAAATTGAGTAACAACATAAATTAATTTTTTAAATTGTTATTCAATTCATAAAATAATTCATTAATTTCACAAATTATTTTACATCTTAAAAAAGGTTTACAATAATTTATAAAATGTAATTATAAAAATTATTTTTTATAGGAAGAATTAACTTGGTAGAGTTATCTCGTATATTAAATATTGATTTTAGTCATATTGAAAGTAAAGCAAATGAACTCGCAAAAAGCGAAACAGAATTGAAACTTATACTCGGACAATTGATTGATAAGTAAGTATAATTTTTTAAAATAAATTATTTAAACAATTATTAAACATAAACAATTTATTAAATAGTTTATTGACTATTTATATGATTTATAATAAAATTTAAAGGCAATATTTAATTAAAATTTTCATGACATTTATGAAAATTATGTTAAATAATTTATTTTAGGATATTCTATAAAATATAATTTAATTTATATTTTTATATAAAAATTTGATGGTATGATATGTTGTAAAGTTTCAAAAAATGTAATATTCATCAATGAGCCTTAACTAAAATGTTTTGCTTATTTCTGTATTTTTATGTGTTTAGTTAGAAAAATATATTAAAGTTTCACAGTTTCAGAAGACAAATTTGTGACCTATGATATAATTTTTAGTTTTAATATTTACCAAACTGTTATCTCTTATGTTAAAATTAATAATTTTTTTTTTAAAGAAAAACACACAGTTCTTTGTAATTAGATTTCCAAAGTAAGATTTTTATTACTTTGAAATAAAACAAAAAAATTTATTTCAGTACATATTTAGATGGTATAGCAGATGAAATTAATGACAAGCTTCAGCAGACTGGTCAAATAACTATAGGTGAACTCACTAAACAATATGACTTACCTGGAGATTTTTTAGAAGAGGTGAGTATTATAAGGAATTTCTCACTCATTTAAGCTACCTAATCAACATATTGAGCCTTTAACTAGTAACTTGTTTTATGGAACAAACTTATAAGAATTAAAAAAGTGTATGTTTAAGATTTTACTTTAAATTATTTGAATCATACATAACAAGTATAGTACTTACATAAACATCATCATTATGTAGTATGATTTGTAATTGATATGATAATAAACTGCTGTTTACAACATATATGATTGATAGTAGTTTTTAAAATGAACTTTGCCAACAATATGAATTGCATCATTCTTTCTTATAGTGGTCATGTAGATATTTTCTTGGCTATTGTTGTTGTTATGAAATCTTTTCTCAGTAATATTTATCAATTATTTAAAGACATTTATTGTTCTAATTTATATTCTTATTTGATAATTTTAGTTTTCTTTTAATCAGAAATACAGAATTAAATATAATTTTATATTTTATGGTTTGTGGAAGCAAATGGATACGTTTTTAATTTAACTCACTGACTATGAAAGGTTTTCTATATAACAGTTTAATTTTTTTCAAACTTCCCAGAATAAAATGTTTGATATAATCTAAAGTCAGTTTAAGATGGAAATGAACTTTTATGGATTCATTAACCACTGTAGTAACTCAAGTCTTTTCAGTTTGGATTGTTAAAGTTAAGATACTGATTATGGTCTTTAAAATGTGTTTAGCTATTCTAACTATGTTGAAACATTTTTATGATTGGACGTTTATACCTTCAGTTACTGGTTTTAAAATGTTTTTGGTAAGTTAAAAATGTGGATTTATATATACATTTGAATCTGTACTTTATACAAACATCTCTAAACCCGATATATAATAAAGCTACACACCAATTGAATGCCGAAAATCTATCGGGCTAGTATAAGGCTAATACTAGCCTTATACTAGCCCGATAGATTTTCGGCATTCGGTTGGTGTGTAGCTTTAATCTGTACTTTATGATTAGATTTCATTTAGCATTTGAATAAAAGTAATTGATGTTTATTATCATAGCAATTTTTTTTATAGATTAACTAATTTTACCCATAAAAATATTTGCAGTAAAAAAAGAAATTGTTATTAATTTAGAAATAAATAGGAAAAATAAAGAAAAACATAACTTTATTTTAAAAAAATATATTAATATAAGACGTACTCAGTATACTACATTAGAAATATAAACATCCTATGAAACCTGATTCATTTCCATAAAGCTAAACCAACTGCCATATGGAGCAGGATGATTTTTTTTACCCATTTATTCTAAAAGTATATAATTAAATTGTAATTGTTAAATTTAATATGAGATGGGCACCTAACACTTCTCTCCAGGGACAAATTAATCAGTAATTCAAAATTAATATAACCAAAATATAGTCTGATATTATACAGTTGGTGTAGCTTTATATTTCACTTCTACATATTCTGTATGTATATATTAACTTTTGTTATTCAATAATTTCTATTTTATGATTAGAAATTTCCTAAATTTACTGATTTATTGTTTTATCTTTAATTGGAAATATGAATTTTCTGAAATTAATTAAAAAAATACAATTAATTTTATTTCAGTTTTGTTGAATATTTGTATTAAATATGACTTTATTAAATGTTTTGGTATTTTAAATTTTTTCCATTTGAGATGAAAAAATAAACTTATTATTTCATACTATTTTAATGTTTATATAAAAGCTAGATTTAGAATATTGTGTTTTCCATAATTTTTGGTTAAAGCTCTCAGGAATAGTTTACACTAGATAACTGTAAAAATGAAAAGGATTAAATTATTGTGTGAAATGTTACTATAGTGATGTTTATTTCTCCTTAAAGATTAATGCTTTCTTGATATTGCAGAGATTAAATTAATGCTTCCATAATATAGCCTTATTGCAATTATTGCAGGGGAGGATATTTTAAATCTTTTCCAGTTAAAATTACAACATAATCTATGTTGTATAAGCTATAGAACTGATTATATTTAAATCAACAATTAAATTATTTCAGAAAAATGAGTAAAAAAACTGATAATTTATTTCATTTAATATTCATGTTCATATAATTTAATTTATTTAATAACTTTTCTAATGCATATAAATAATTTTACAAATTACAAACAATTTAGAATTAGGTATTTATCATTTATTTTCATTTCTCTTTACCTATTTATAGATAGTTCATGAAAGATTAGGAATTTCAATTCAAGGACAAGCAGATCCATTTGATTCAAGAACAATATTTACTGAAGCATATATAGCTAAATATAATGCAATAATTAGAGGTGTTTTATCAGCTATTACTAGGTAAAATTAAATAAATGTTTCTATGTATAGTGTCCTTTTAATCCAAAAAATTTATCTTGGTAGATCTGGTAAAAGCTGTGAGATCATATACCAAGAAAAATTTTTTGGATTAAAAGGACACTACACATAGAAATTGAATAAACAGCAACCATACTATATTAAGATAAATAAATGTTATAGTTTATTTATATTTATAAATATTCTTTTTTAGTTATAAATTATTATTTTTTTTTTTAGACCAACAACACTCAATAATCTAATTAACAATTACAAAATCCCTGAAAGACTTTTCTATAGTATGTATAACTTTTTATTTATTTTTATTTATTAAATATTTTAATTATGTAATTGTATTTTTCTGGAAAAATTAGAACAAAAATGTAATTAATCATTTATAGGAAAGGAAACAATTTTTAAACAACAAAAAAAATAGACTAATTTTATAAATTAAAATGATTTTATTTGAATATTTTGTTTCTTTAGATAGAATTGTTTGAATAATCAAAATTACAGTCTGAATTCAAGAATACTTATAAAATAAAAAATTATTATGCATAATTAATTAATAAGTTAAATAGGTCTACAGGATATTAAAATTAAAATATATAATTTTAATCTGTTCATTTGTTATTAAGAGAACTCATAAATATATAAACTTTAATACTTAAATTATTGCACAATAATTATTATTAAAAATTTGTTGCTTAGACACTATGTACTGTAATAAATTCAAACACTTGACATTCCTTCATCTATTATTTTAGTTCAGTTGATACAACATGTTTTAAATTACACGTTTCAGGCATAATATGCCCCTCAAGCACTACATAGTGTCTAAGCAACAAATGGAAATTTTGACACAGTTTCAAATTATCAAATATTATTAAGAAATAATATTTACTTTTTAAACACAATTATTAATAGTTTAAATATTTTAAGTTTATTTCAAAGATTTCCTAAATCTCTACTTGTTCTCATTAAATATTTTCTACATAAATTATTATTTTTTATGAATAGTATTTATATTTGGATAAGTTTTTATTTTAATCACAATTTTTAATTACACCTAATTCATAGTTATATAGAAATATATTTCCAGAAAACTGTAATGGGAATGTAAAAATTGAATATCTATATTTTGTACTTGAAGGAATACTGTTTCAGAAGATGATCAGTAGCAATATTTTATGTTTCTTAAGTATAAAAAAGTTATTTATAATGATATATTTATGTCAATATTTGGATAGTGTCTTTTATGTTATAAGTTATAATATACACATATAACACAAAAGTAAATTAAAAGCATTTCAATACTTTTTCACAAATAAGTTTTCTTTTAATCCAAGAATGAAAGTAAATTTTTAGTCCATTATTTATTTGAATGCCTTGTCATGAAAATTATTAATTAAAATTCATTTGTATCCATTATATTTAGTAATTTATGATAAAAATTGGATTTGAGATGAATTTACATTTGAAATATTAAGTTCCTATGTAAATGAAAATGCATTTTTACAGATACAATTATATATGTATATCTGTTGTGCAGTGAAATTCATAAAATACATTCTTTTTCTTTATTTTTGGATGAATTATTATTATATAAAAGTATAATTTCATTTTTGTTTTAATTTTTTTATTATTATGAATTCATTAAAATTGTTTGACACACTTTAATATTTATTTACATCTATAAGTTTCTGGTAAAGTCTTTTATTTTTAAATTATTTTAATTACTAATATAAATTCATTTTTTCATTAATTAAATTTTTAGGTATTATAGACGATCTTTTGAAAAATAATTATATTCATGGCAGTATATCGGGTGGTCGTTCTGAAAGAGCAAGTTATATACCTGATATCTATGCAAAATCTCAAAATGAATGGATAGATTCATTTTTTATGCAAAATAATTATATAGGTAAAATTTTTTAATTATTTATTATTTATTCTATTAAATTGTTTCTTAATATATTTTTAATAATTGAATATTTGTTATAAACTGCATTTGCCATGGTCAAATTTAAATAAGTGAACACTTAATAGATTTTTAATCCTTTGATGAGTAGGTTTACTAATGGTTCCTTCTTCTCTTGATTGAGTTATTTTTTTATACATTATAACACAAAAAAAAAAAAAAATAATATGTTATCTTCTAATTCTTATTTTTTTTAATAAACTAGACAATATTTTCTTCTTGTGATTTGTGTGTGTTGAAAACTTCAGTTATTTAGGAGGAGACAGTGAGTGTGAATAACTACTAGATGTCATGTTTGTCTTTATACTGGAAAATTCTATGTTAAATTTCACAAAACTTACAAAAACTATCTTGAAAGAATTTTATAGATTTGTCAATAGATGTCCCTAGCTGTCTATTTTCATGTTTATCTGTAAATATCAGTGGCGTGCCATGACATTTGATGATAGGGAAGCTGACTTCCAGGGACAATCAGTTAATTGTGTGTCAGTGATGGTCTAGGGTCCATTCGTATCATTTGTTCGATAAGCCAGTAAAAATCGCAGACTTCTCTAAATGTATTTTTAATATCACAATTACATTCTGAATTGCTAGCCACAATGTAAGGACTACAATTAAAAATAAAATAATAAAAACTTACTTGGTGAAATAAAATGTGTGGTGGATGTACAGTACAGTACATACCTGGTAGAAAATATTCTTCAATTGTATGAATATACTTTTAAAGAAAATTATAATTAAATATAGCTTTGTAAAGAAATGTACACAAAAATAACATAAAATATTCTTTACTTTTTAAATCTTAAAACAATCCACCTAGTCAAATAGCTCGCTATAAGTGGCTAATGGATGGAATCAGAGATGGTTGTAGTGTGTGCATACATGTGGACTGCCAAATCCCCAGGGTGCTGATACTGGTCAATGTCAAATACCTCTTTTGTCGCATCACTAGTATACCTCAAAGGATGCGACAGGGTTGTTGTAAATTTTAAACATTTCTCACCATAGCTGTAAAAATCTAAATATGTTAAACTTAATAGTCATTTGTTTTCTAACTAATTCGTTTTAGGACCACAGAAATTTCCAAAATTTAGTGTCCACAGAAATTTCCAAAATTTACAACTTTTCGGTCACTGTCGTTGAACTGGAAAGATTTCTTTCTTTTACATCTAATATTACAAAGAAATCAGTCCACACTGTACTCGGCTAGAGATTGGTTCAGTTAAGCTTTCGTTTAAGTAAAATTTCGGCTCTTTCAGCAGGATTTTATTTATGTCCCCAATTCCCTAATCTCTTAATTAGGGAATTTAACTACTTCTTAAGTAGAAATAAGTCAAAACCAGTTACTTTGTACTTGAATATTTGTAGTCTTGAGAAAGAAGTGGAAAGACAAATTTTTATGACAATGGATATATAAATCATAAATTTAAGGAAAATAAATTCTAGAGCTTTTTCTTTTGCATCTCTCTCATTCATTAAATTTAGTTGTAAATGATGCTACCAAAGTAACAGTTAATTTTTTAACAGTGTACAAGAATTGTACATGTTTTTTTCTACATCCCCCTATAGATGGGACATATGAAATCATAATATCACTGGTTTAACATTGAAATCTGTGAGTAATATAAAATCAGAGAGCAGAATAAAACTATCAAATATTTTAATGGATTTTTTTAACTCCTGTCAACTATACAGAACTATTATAAAAGCATACCAGTAAATACCTATCGGTTGGGTTAAGTTATAAATCTATTCATGATTCACATAATTGGGCAAGGGTGGCCAAATATCTAGCAGGCAGGCAGTTAACAGCCCAGAACTGGTTAAGGATAGAATCATTGGAAGCATTATATGTGTATAGCTTCCACCAGCTGAACCGTGTGAGGTTGGTGCTCTGTAAAGCACATGCTCTAATGCATATAATATGGCTGTTTGGAAGCTGACCCAGTTTCGACAATACAGCGCTTCCATTCTGTCACTAATATATAATAGCAATCTTATCATTTTTTTTCTCATGTAGTATAGAAATTTGTAATAAGATACATAATGCTGTTATAATAAAATATAAATTTTAATTAATCCAAAATATATTAAAATATGAAAATAATCGCGCAATATGTATTTATTTTTTAGAAAATACAAGGGAAGCGGCACTTCCACCGCTTCCAATGATGGCACGCCACTGGTAAATATACAAGAGTACTACAATGAGACAAACTTCAAGAAGGTATATGTACTGTACCTGCTTACTCTGTATAGCCTACAAAATGTATTATGTATATATTTGGAAGTAATCATCAAATAGTTAATTATTTTGAGAAATTATGCAAGTGTATAAATTTTCTTGAAGATTATAATTCTTTTAATAGAAATAATCATATTTATATAAGATTATTTTTAAAAATAAAATTAATCTTGATTTAAAAATTTTTAATTATTATATCTGTAATTTTCATAAATTAGTTAAAAGTTGATTTATATAATTTAAAATGAAAAACTGATGATGAAGTTCATTTAATTTGATCTAAAACAAAGCATTTTGAGAGTAATTTTTACTTTTTATATTTATAAATTTTAAACCAATTTTTAATTTTTATATACTAGAATGACAATTTTTATTTTTGCATCAAATACCAAACTATAGTGGTGCTCAGAAATTAAGCAACAAATCAAAAAACACAAGTTTATTTCTTAAGTGTATTATTCTTGTTGCCTTATATTGTTGGAATAATGCATAGAAAAGAAAAGAATTCAGTTGAATGAGTTATAAAATTACACAATTAATATCCAAAAATGGCATAGAAAAATTCAGTGTTAATATAGCTTATTAAAGATGTAATATCAAGTTCAATTATACTAACAAGGGGATGGCATGATGGATTCACTGATTTTGATCATACTCAGTGAGGTTATAGTGAATTGCAATGTTAACTGATTCATATATTGTATATGCTGATCTTTGATGAATGCCATGCCCGTTTCTTAACATGTTCACTGCTGGTATAAAAACTGATTTCCCTACCAATATGCTGAAAAAATAAAACATTTTCTGATATATTTAAAAAAATGTATATTAACAAACTAATATAAATTTGCCTTAAGTTTATAAATAAAAATAATTTTAATAAAGAAATGCAAAAAATTAATACATTGTAAAATTTTATCAAACAAAAAACAATTTTTATAGTCATAATTCATGACAAATTTTTGCACCAATAAAAAATTAATATACAGAAAATACTAATACAAAACCAATGGATGAAATATATTCTTTGAATTGTAGAATAGATGATAACGATAAAGGATTACTGGATTTAAATCATGCTACTTTACTGTTACTATTAACAATCATATACTAAGTAATTTGGTACTAGAGGTGTGCATTATGTTCCATCTCTTATTAAATTTAATAATTATAGTTAAATTCTCAAATTAATATTTATAATTATTAAATTGTAAAATCGAAGCCCACAACTGCCACTTACCAGCAATTGTAGATTCAAGTCCTGCTCCATGCTAATTTTTTTCTTCCAGAATATTCTAAATTATTTAATAAATATTAATTTAATAAAAGATGGCATCTCATGCCTACCTCTAGTACCAAATTACTCAGTATTTAATTATTAATAATAGTGGTAAAATAGCACAATTTAAATCTGGTAATCATTTGATTTTGTTATAAAATATTGGGTTTTAAGATGTTTATATATGTATAGATAAAAATAAACTTTCCTTATAAACAAAGGATAAAATTTTCCCAAGTAATAATATAAACAAACTTCAAGAACACACAAGTGTCCTTGGCATATTGGGCAGTGTAGGATGCTTCAAAGTATCATTGGTGCTGAATATGTTAATGTATGTGAGCATCAGTATTCATTTGAAAAGGTAAATTGGCTGTTTATTCTAATAATCACATAAGTAATTACAAATTAATAAAATAAAAATACATTTTAAATGTATAACTGATATTATTCATTTAGAAGTGAAATACAATATTATATTTTAAAATCATCATGACACTGATTGAAATTACAATGTCATATACATTTGAAAGTATACATCAGTAAGTATGATAGTCAAATTGCATAAATCTTGACTTATGCAGGTGTTGTTATCAATCTTCTGAATTAAATTTTTTTTTCCTGTAAGAGAAATTTTGACACATTTTTGTACATTTTGTATTGTGTCAGAATATAATTTAATTATTTATGTAAGTTTTTGAATTTCAGTTAATCTTTTTCTATTAAATTTTACTATAAAGTTTGAATTTAATGTTAATAACTAAAATCTTTCTTTTTATTAATTTAGAATATGATTCTTTGTTAAGACTCGGTATATCAGAGCCAAAGGCATACATAATGAAAAAATTTAAAGATAAAGATCTTACTTATTTAAATTCCTGTTGTGTTGGAAAATCTATTTGGGAACAAGTTGAAGCTGCCATTGATGAAGTTATTAGCACTGCTTCTTGGATTGATGCCATGGTAGATATATTTTTTAGTTGTAAGTTTAAGTTTGTTCATAAACAATAATTTTATCATTTTAGTGACCTGCTTAAGCAGACTTAGCTTGGCTTAGAAAAACATTTAATATCAATATATTTTGCAAAGTTTGCAAAACCTTATTTTCATTATTAAATTGTTTGACAAACAAACATATAAAAGATTTATTTTGATATTTATGCTTAAATGGCAATAACAACTATGTTATGATACTATTTATTACATTATATTAGTTAATAACGTGCCTAATTTCAAATGTTAAATTATTTACATTTTATTCCATAATATTTACTTTCATAATTCTAGTTTTATTAGACCCTAGTCATTTTTTTCTTTGTGAAATTGTTTAATTGAATCACAGCATTCTCAAAAAAATAATTTTACGTATATTTGTATTAAAAATTTGAATGAAAATTAACTTGAAAGATTTTCTTTCCATTTTCTAAATTATTTATTGCATAATGAGTTGGCAGCAGTTTCGATATATCTGTATTGATATCTCCCATATATTAATAATTATTAATTAATGATGAACTATTTTTAATATCTGAATCTTACAGGATTGCATTTCATTATCAATTATTGATATTAATTTAATGTAATAAATAGTAAAATTACTCATTTTGTTCATTTATTAAAAAATTAGTAAAACTGAAAGGATATTTTGATTACAGATATTATTTTTGTTAATTATTCTATCTAAATTTATTAATTCAGTAAACGTTTTATGACCTAACTGATTATCTGAAATTTTGGCAATTGATTTTCCTATAATTCATTACAGTAATACAAATTTTAGAAACTGGAAATTTTTGTAAACTTATCAGCAGTTTTTCAAAAATTTCTAGAAGTAATTGAAATTTCTTATTATTTCTCATTTGACATCTCTTTAAACACAAATATTATGATTTTACTAATCTCAATAATCTGTGAAAGTAAATATGACAAAACTGGAGAGTAAGCAAATGAAAGAAGCAGTACCCCTTGTTTAACTCCAGCAATATACAGTATTTATTAATTAAAAATGTTTTAAATATACTTTCACGAGCCTTCTAAAGTTGGAACATCATACTTAAATAAAAAAAGAATGAAAAGAACATTCAAAAAATATATTAAATGCAATGAAAATAATTTAAATTAAAAAAATGGGAAGAATGTTCTAAATCAATAGAATAGTCATACAGTTTAAATACATATAATATAATCAAAATTTAAAAACATAAATGCTATAAAAATAAAACAAAAATAAACAACAAACAATTATCAGAGAACCAAGCTTAAGTTAAAGAGCTCATATAGATTTCCTCACTGTCAATAATGTATCACAGGGGTGACCAGCCCGCAGGCCGCATGTGGCCCAAGGCAAGTTCAAATGCAGCCCAATAAACGTGTAAACAAAATCAACAAATTTTTTTATGTTCTTTTATTTATTTATTTTGACGGCATAAACTCAATAAAAGAAGTTTCACAAAGCCATAAATCTTTATAGATATTTTATTTTTGAGTGGAAAGGAAATATTTTCAAATACTTGAAAAGTATGAATGAGAAAGAAATACTAAATAAAGCTGGAGTTGTGACTCAAAGAATTATAGATCCAAATTTGGGGAAAGGAGAGAAAGGCCAAAAGATAAAAAGTAGTGAGAAAGGTTAAATAGACTTTCTATTAAGCAAATATGGAATCTTAATTTTCCAACCTTCCTCACTTCTTTATCTTTTGTCCTTTCTCTCATTCTCCTGCATTTTGGTCTATAATCCTTTTCAGTCCCAACTCCAGCTTTTTTTAGTATTCCTTCCAGTGTTGCATGATTTGGCTACTTTGTGCCAAGGTTAGCTACCCTTTTTTTAGTTTGGCGTAAAAAATATCATTTGGAGCATTGGCTACTTTTTGGACTACATATTATTTATAAATATATTAGTCGAATAAAAATGCACTTTAAAATGGTGTTT